CCATGGACATTAACTAAAGTGGAGGAATGATGGTGAGTGGTGGGTGGTTCAGGGTGGAGGGGAATAAAGGGGAGAAGACAATGGGACAACTGTCATAGCATAATCAATAAAATATATTTTAAAAAACCAATTCCGTAGGTTGATAAAGGTCTTTTTGTTTGTTTACCAGTAGATGGTGCTATAGTTCAACCTTTTCTTTTCTCCTACCTGTGTGCTACTTTTGTCTCTGAGATCCATGGTGCCCCTGTGGTCCTTAGAGTTGCTGCCTGGGTGACTAGGGTGATAGGTAACCCAGCTACTGTCTGGGTTGTCTGGGTCTTGGAGCACCACCAAAAGGGGGGTGGGGATCTGACAGTTGTGTCTATGGAGGAGTTGAGTTTGCATGCTTGCCTTGCTGCTACCTGGTTTACCATGGCCACTGGTGCCACTGTGCTGTGGCCAGGAATTTTGACATTCATCTCTACTGCTGCTACCAGGCTTTCTGGTGATATGAGCACTACTGCAATCAAGGGAGGAAGCCAGATTCTTCTTTGGTGACACTATGCTATCCTCCTTATCCTTTGCTGGGCTGTGGTGTGGGCACCAACTCCTTCACTAAACCATTTGTGAGGGCTGGGGCTGGGGCTGGGGCTGGGGCTGAGCCCAGGGAACTGAGGATATGGGCTTTATCTCTGTCCTTCCCCCATTCTGCCTCAATTACATGTGCCAAAACACCCACCTTCAGATGTATTGATGTGTGGATCAGGTGACTCAGTATGCTGAGCAGAGGAAACTTTGTTGAGTTATAAATGTCCCAGTTGTAGATCAAGGGGGAGATACAGAGGAGTCATCCCACTTCCTCATGATGATGACGTCATTCTATCTTTTCTATTGTTGATGGCAATTTGTATAGTTTTTAGTTTTTGACTGTTATGAATACTACTATTATGACCATTGCAGCACATACTTCTTTTGGTGAACATACTTATGAATTTCTTTCTGAGTTAGCTGTAGTATATGATACTAAGTAGTTTTCCTAAGTGTTGTACATGTTAGCTAAAGTTGTTCCACATTCTCTGTAACACTTGGTATTACCAGATTTTGTAACTTTAGTCATTTTAGTGGGATTTTAATGGTGGCATGGTATTTTTTAAAATGAATTAGATTATATCTCTTTTAGGCTTTAAGATGTCTAAAATTTTTAATTTTGCCTAGAATAAAATCTAATGTTCTTGTTATTGCCCACAGGCCACTGGACTTTTTCCTGTCTCAGTGACTTTATTTACTCAACACTCCTGCTTATTCACTCTACTCCACCGACTTCATTTCTATTACTTTGAATTTTCCAAAGTCTTTTTTCCTTCAGAGATTTTTCTTGTTCCTTGTATGAGGAGAGCCCTTACCCTAGATGTCTGCCTCTCAAAAACCCACACAAGAGGTTTTGAAACAACTTAAATGTCTGAAAGAAATAGAAACATAAATGGGGTATATTTATGCAATGGAATACTATAGTGAACTTGAGTGAATGAGAGCTACACTTCTTTAAAGTTTTTGAATCTCACAAATATAGCGTTGAGTGAGAAAAGGCAAATTATACAAGTATAGAGTATAGTGCTTTTTATGTAAAGACTAAAAGATCCTACATATGAATAATTTCTGTTACTTAAGGAACACACTCCCACACACACACATACATATCAGGATAATAAACACTAAGCTTAGGACAATGAGTCTAGGGAGCCAGGGAGGTATATACAGAAAAGTTGCTATTATTTCTCTGGTTGGGTCTTGCTCATATAACTTACGCTTTGTTTTGAGTTGTTTAGCTCTTAAATATTGCAAGATACACATTTAAAAATACAAAAAGTGAAAGTTAGAAAGTAAGGTAATTCAATTTAGGAAATTTCAACATAAAAGAGCATTTCCTTGTGTTCATAACAACGCAAACCTGAGTGTTTTTACCTGGAACCTCGATAAACAAATTCTGTTTGAATTTCTTATATCCCTGTTCTCCTTAGCAAACAATTCTCTCCAGTTTCTCCAATTTTCCAAGGTAATTGAGAATCTGCAGTAAATTTTGGGTTTCGGTTTTTTAATTGCAAAGTTCCTAATCCTCAAATAACTTCTGTTTTCAAAGCCAGTGGTTCACTTTCCACGTATGAGGAAACAGATTTGGTGTGGAAACCATCTCTGGAAATATAAGTGTTAGGTCTGAAGCCTCACCAGTAAAGTGAAATGTCAGAAATGTCTGATAAGAGAGAGATGCTGAAGGGGGTCTGGGATAACACCTCTTAACTTCATAAACTTTGGGGCAACTGATTAGACTTTGGATACTGATTGGACTTGGCACATATACTGATCCTAAGCCATAAAAAATGAAATAAAGAATATGTTTGTCTATTCATAAGGTAGAAACTGAAAAAGACAAAAATAAAAAGATTTAGAAACAACTTTCAACACTGCTTATAGCAATAATTGTAAATGCTAGTCACTTGACATTTTTTATAGTAACATCTTTGTTTTGGGTAGAAGTAACAATGTTGTAAAATGTATATATATAGAAGAAACTCATTCAATGGTGATGTGAGGGGAGCATAATGAAGATTTCCAGTAATAGCTTACCAAAGGGGTTCTCTCCAATGGATAGAGGACTTTTACAGAGGCTACATGACATGTTCTATCATAGAAATTAAATGCAGAAGCAGATATGAGAATTCAGTTGTCTTTTATTAAGCTGGACATTGAAGAGATTTCCAAATGCTGAATATATGTAGTGGTTTGTGGAACAATATCACTTTTCTCAGTAAGTCTGTTTGTTTTGGAAAGTATTGTTATTTTTCATAAAATATCTGATATGTTCATATATAATGAGTTTATGGACAGGGACATGCAAAAATAAAGCTAAACCAACTTACACTATACACAACAAATAAACTCAAAATGGGTAAAAGTTGAATATAAATTACAAAAGCATAGAAATCCTAAAAGAAAGCATAGAGAATAAAATCTTAGATATTCAATATAAAAATATTTTTGATGATGTATCTCCTAAAGCAGTGGAAACAAAGCAGAAAATAAACAATGGACTCCATCAAATTATAAATCTTTTGTACAACTGCAGAAACTATCAGCAAGCAAGATGAATAGGGAACCCACCGTATGGGAGAACATTTCCACCAATGATACATCTGATAAGGGTTACATCTCCAAAATATACAAAGAGCTAATACAACTTAATGCCAGGAAGACAACCAAAGTAAGAAATGGGCAAAAGACCTGTATAGACACTTCTCCAAAGAGGACATACTGAGGGCCTGTAGGCACGTGAAAAAATGCTCAACATCATTAATCGTCAGAGAAATGCAAATTAAAACCTCAAGGAGACATCTCCTTACACATGTCAGAATTGCCTACCATCAGTAACTCAACAGACAAGTGTTGATGAGGATGTGGAGAAAAGGGAACCCTAGTGCACTGTTGGTGGGAATGCAGATTGGTGTAGCCACCATGGAAAGCAGTATGGAGTATCTTTAACAAATTAAAGATGGAGTTCCCTTTTGACCCAGCAATTCTACTTCTGGGACTATACACTAAAGATCCCAAAACACCAATACAAAAAAAAATGCACTTTTATGTTTATAGCAGTACTATTTACAATAGTCAACATTTGGAAAGAGTCTAAGTGCCAATCATTCATGAGTCAATAAAAAAACAAAACAAAACTGTGGTACATTTACACAATGGAATACTATGTGGCAGTAAAAAAGAAGGAACGCTTACATTTTGCAATGTCATGGATGGACCTGGAGAAACTTATGCTAAGTGAATTAAGCCAGTCAGTGAAAGAAAAATACCACATGATCTCATTTATATGTGGGATCTGATGAACACAATAAACTTACACACAAGATGATTACAAAAGCTTAGATATCTAGAACAGCCTGACAGCTACGGGAAAGGGATGGGGGTTGGGATGAAAGATCGTGAAGGGATTAACTAAAGAACATTTATGCACAACCCATGGACACCGAACAACAATGTGGGGATTGGCTTGGGGTGGGGGAAGAGTGGGGCTGGGTGAGGAAGGGGAAGGGGAGAAAAGTGGGAACAACTGTAACAGTTTAATTATATAAAGTAAAATAAAATAAACATTTAAAACTCTCCACTTAATTTCTAATACAGTAAATTATGGCAGACAAATCCATATAAACAAAAGGAGTTTAGAGTGCTCAATATTTTGGAACAATGTGGGCATTTGCAAACTGGCCACCAGCCTATCCCTGGAAGTTCTGCTGACAATGTAACTGCTTCATTCTTCTGCTTGCTCCTGGGGTTGCTTCTGTCTCACTGTCTCAAATCTTACAGAGACCAGAAATCTCTTGAATAGCAATTATAATTTATATTTTCTTCTAAGTCTCAGTGCCACAAGAGATATCTCTGGAGTGTCATCTAACAGCCAGGGAAACAGGTCCCTGTTGATAGCCTCCTATTTCGAAGTTTCAGACCAAAGTGGTCTTTGTGCTCCAGGAATTTGAGTATCATCATGGAATGATGATACTTTCCATATATAATGAGCTTGACTCTGGCAGAAAAAAATATTTCTTACAAACCATTTGGATGGTTCCACTTTTGGGGAGTTGGATATAGGCCAATGCAGGGTGTGTAATTACTGCTTAAGTGGGGTTTGGGAAGGAATGAATAATTCCTTTACAAGGACAATTCAGAATAGACTTAAGCAGGAATTACCGGTGAGCTGCCAGAAAATTAGGCAACAAGCTTTCAGATCACTTCCTAGGGTGATGCCGTGTTCCTTGTACACTTGCCTTGGGGAAGGTAAGCCTGCACCGCCCACGGTGGCAAAGAAACAGCCTGTTGTGAAAATACGAGACAAGGTTCAGTCCCTGGGTGTTAGATCCTTCACTCTCCAGAACTCGTGCACAGTCAGATCTTGTCCCACGCAGCTGGGAGTCCGTGGTGGAGCCACTCGCAGGTGGGCGCCGACGGTAGGTGTGCAGGGGAAAAGGTGGCAAAAATATGAGCGACCGGAAGGCCAGAGATTGGGACTCCTGGGCGTCTCCTTACCGCAGGGGAGACCTTGGGGAAGCAGATGCCATCTCTAAGAGAAGGTGTGGAGCTTGCGTCTACCTGCCAGTCCAGCCGCACTCCGTCTGGCTCCCTCTTTTCCTGCCGGCCTTTGCCAGGTAGACCTGAGCTGGTTTCTTCCTGGTGAGCACGCATTTGCAGTGTCGGTTCAGTTCACCCGCCCTGCGGATCCTGAGGTCGGGGACATGCAGGGGAGTAGGCTATGTACAACGCACGGTGGGGACTTGGGGAGCCACGACCAGGACTAGGGGTCTCAGCTGAGGGGAGCAGGGAGGCGCGCCTCTCATAAGGCGCAGGATGCAGATTCTGCCTCGTTGTGCCAGGTGGCAGAAGGGGATGTCAGCGCCGTCCCCAGAGGAAGCGAAGGAGAGCGTCCTGCAGGAGGGGTCCCGTTCTGGCAACAACCATTCCCAGACTTCCCCCACTTCCCTCTCACAGCTGACCCACGCAAGGACCCCTTTCCACCTAAAATGCTGAGGGTCCGACCCTGAAAATAGGAAGGGGACAGGAGAGGGAGCCGTCTTTGAGAGTACTTCTAGGGAATGTGGGGCCAAGGTTAGAGGGTTCCCCGCGAAGAATAGAAAGTCAGTGGCCTGTCTTGAGGTGTCTGAGGTTCAGAGGTTGCAGGATCAGGTCCCTGCCTCTTCCCCTCCAACTCTCTTCTCTCTTCCTAGCAGCCTGATATGGAGACGGTATCCCTGCTGCTGTGTGGTGTGTCCATAGCTCTTCCCCTTTGGATCAGAGCTGGTATGTTGGGTTTGTCCTCGGTTCTCAGAGGTCCCCCTCACCCAAGAGCTTCCTTGCTGCTCTGTGCAAGCCTTCTGTGCAGACCTAGGTGGGGTTCCCTGGGACTCTGAGCCTTGCTGATTACACTCTTCCAGTGGACCAGGGAGAATTCTGTAAATGGCGGTTTCATTTTGAAGTGTCTGATGCTCAGTCCCAGATGTCACCTTTGAGCTTTGAGGTGACTTTGGCGAGGAGGAGGAGGAGGCAAATTGAGTTAAATGGCTCAAATGGATCTTTTACATAACAGAGTCATTTTATGACCCAGGATAAAACCAAAGAAACCATGAAAAGACTAATTTCTTCCAAGAACGAAACTAAGTGAGAAATGGACTCTAGAGCGAGAAGATTTTTAAACAATGCTTTTTGGGATGAGATACACATTTTATACACCTTTTATTTAAGACAGAGTGAAATAGCTGAGTGGCAGAACAAAAGAAAAACAGGACAATTAAGGCTGAGAAGGAATATTTCCTCTGACCCTGGAGGATGAAAGAATGAAGTGCCTTAGAGTGTAAAGGAGAAGGAAATCAGTCATTCTAGATGCTGAAGATGACTGTGAGGTGCAAACAGTAAATTCAGTCCTATAGACACATTGGAAGGACTTTGATACTTTCAGATCAACAGACTATTTTTTTTTAAGGTAACTCCCACACTGAAAAAGCTCTCAAATAAAATTGGCTAGGAAATTGAGATGTTTGTTAAAACTATTAATAAATAAACATTAAATTTCTCTTTTATTATTATTTTTCCCTTTCATTTCCTAGATGAATGTCGGGACATTAGTGTGCAAAATGAGACACCTTCAGTAAACCAGCCTTTTGCTTTTAATTGCACATACCCTCCAATAACCTCTGGGAAAGCACATGTAACTTGGTATAAATATCCTAGCAAAATCCCAGTATCCAAAAACATGCAGACTAGAATTTACCAGGATCAAAACTGGATTTTGTTTCTTCCCCTGGCATGGGGGGACTCTGGAATCTATCAATGTATTATAAAGTAAGTTCCTCACTTGAAATAGAACTAACTTTCTCTTTCTCTGTTTCATGTATATATTATAATTATATGTATATAATTCTTTTAGGAAATTTCTTAATAAATTATTAAGCATAGAAAACTCAATGAGAAGAATAAAATGTAGTTTTATAATTGTTATAAGAAAATTTCCAATGAACACATTTTAAAACCAAACAGATTTGTAAATCAGTTGTTGGAATGTGGAATGCAGCTTTTTCCATGAAAGTGATGCCACAGCCAGACCAGCTTACAAAAATCCTGTGTGCCAATATTATTGTTGCTGCCTTCTTTCTTGGAATGCCAGAAGTTTTTTGTGATAAGTGGCACATCCAGATAGGAATAAGGTTTATTTGAACACCTTTTTTGTTAGGCATCTGCTATGGAAATTTAACAGTGACTAACCACTAAGTATGTTCCAAACCTAAAGCTAAGTTTTGCACTAGAAAGTAATACTGTATAAATGAATGACACAGGTCTGGTGGGAGACAACTGAGCTTGGTGGGGACTGTGGTGAACTGGAAAACATGCCCCAGCAAAGGTGGCAGTCTATTTAGCTCAAATCAGTTTTTCAGTTTTTCAAGAATACCTGGAAATTAGTGCATGTGTATGTGTGTGTGTATAACTTCTTAATGAACTTTTTGTGTGGCTCAAATAAAACATATCTGTGGACCAAATTTTGCCTGAAGGCCCCAATTTTGTTTCTTTCCCTTACTAATGTACATGACTTTAACAGATTATTTGACCTCTCTCAGACTTGGTTTCTTATCTGCATAGTGGAAGTCATGCGGGCCTGATAGGGTTGAAGTGAAAAATAGCCAAGATCACATGTGAAGAAAGTACCCCAGAAATGAAGTTGCATTCTCTCTTGTTTTGTTTTTATGGTATTTGCTGTTCCCTTTCTCTGTCCTAGAATGGCCTGTGTCCCGCTCTGATTCATGCCAGATTCCTTATTTTCCTATGTCAGGTTGACTCATGGGCCAAAATTACTTAGTGGTACACAAGTAGAAGTGGCATTTAGCCCATTTGCCTGGCCTCTTTCCACAATTTCACTTGCTACATAGATTCAAGCTGCTGACATCTTAGGAAGTCCTGCTCTTCCATTTTTACTCTCAGCTACAAATTAGCTAGATTTGGAAACTGTGTGTTACACAAATTTCATCTGGAAATCTAGACTGGATTTAAAATATTTAAATCTGGAAGCTGTGAAGTGGGGAAAGTCATCTTTCATAGAAAGTAAATGTAGATATTGTCTGTCATGGAAGAAAAGAAATATGAATTTTCATAAAATTTTAACATATAGATACAATATATAGTTATTGAACTGTATATTTTTACTTTGAAATAATTTCAAATTCACGTAAAATTTCTAAGAACAATAGAGATTCTCATCTGTCCTTTATCTAGATCCCCTCATTATTTAATATTTTGCCACATTTACATTATTCTTTCTCCCTATATGCATATTATACCAAATATTTTTCTAAATCATTTTCCCAAATCATCTGAGTTGTTTGTATCATGTCTCTTGACCCCTTAATATGTCAATGTGTATTCCTATCAAAAAGAATATTTTCTTACATAATCACAGCATCATTAACAAATTCAGAAAATTTTACTCTCATATAATATTTTTAATCTAATCTTCAATCCATATTATAATTTTATCAATAGTCTTAGTGATGATGAATATAAATATTTTTCTTTCCTTTCTAGCAGAGGATGTAATTCATGATCAAGCATTGCCTTTGGTTGCCCTGCATTTTTAAACTCTTTCATGTGGAATAGTTCTTCAGTCTATTTTTCATGACATTGACATTTTGAAGGAGTACACACAATTGTTTTACATTATATTCCTTAATTTGAGTTTGCCAGATATTTCTTCGTGAGCCTCCTTGGTTGGAATACTGTGAAAGTTGTGTCCTCTTCAGAAAATATTCAGAGGCACATTTGCCCCTCATTGGTGATGTTCATTTTCACCAGTTGGTTAAGTTGTTATCCAGTGTTTCTGCTATATAAATATTTTCTTCCTTTTGTAATGATTTGTGAGACATGCATCACCTTGTGTGAGGCAGAGAATTTCTATAGTACCTTGAAGATGATTTGGACATAGTTGAAGATAAACAGAATCATTTGGTTTCATGATTGTTTGAGTTTATGAGGTTTTTATGTGTTATTTTCTTACAGTAATACAAATATGTGTCACCGAATACACATAAACCTAACTGTGTTTAGTGAAACCCAGTGCATTTCCAGAAACAGTCAAGTGAATTTATCAGATGAGTACAAACAAATATTACATGTTGGAAAAAATGACAGTCTTACATGTCATCTGAACTTCCCGAAGAGTTGTCACTTGGATTCAGTAAAGTGGTATAAGGTAAAAAAAAAAAATCCTCCTAATACTTTTTCTCCTCTTATTTAAAACTTACTTGTTTTTTCAATTTAAGTTGTATTTTTTAAGGCAGAATTGGTAAAGAGATGTGTGTACCTAGAACAGATCTGTTAGATAGCTGACTGCTATGGGTAAGCTTAACTGCTAATCATTTACTTTTAAATTTATAGTTATTATATGTGGGGGGGGGGCGCTATGCCCGCAGGGCACACTCTGCCACCATGGATGAGAATAAGTCTACCAAGACTTGATCTGCTTGGCGAGGAAAGGTGGCCGATCTCTCAAAGGAGAAGGCCCAAGACCCTTTTCCTCAGTGGGTTTTTATTGGGTTCATTTTGCACGGGAATACAGGTAAAGCTCATTAATCATTGTCAGGCAGTAAGGATCAAACAACAGATAACATACAAAGAACTACTAGGGCTTATTCTGAGTCAGGGTCTGTTAGCTAAAGGGCTACGTAACTTTGGGAAACAAAATCATTTCCTGCTCCAACCCCTATCATTTAATTGAGAGAATTCTTAGCATAGCAGGTTTCAGAGGATTTTATATACTCTTTCTTAGTTCTGATCATCTGGGGAACCCACCCTTTCCAGCACAGGGCTGCACTGCCCTCTGTCATTGTTTCAGGCTTAAATCAGGTAGGGGAAGTAAGGCAGCCAAGAGATTAGGAGACTTTTGCAAACAGAATGAGGACTCAGGCTCTGTCAAAGCCCAGGGGCAAGGGTCCATCATTTCCTTCTTCCATAGCCCCCTAAATTCTTCCCTGGGGCCGCCCATTTCATGCCTGTCTTAGGTCATCCCAACTTTGAGAAATCTGGTTTTTTTTTTTTAAATTTTTTTTTTAAATTTAATTGTTGTTCAAGTACAGTTTTCTGTCTTTTACTCCCATCCCCACCCACCCACCCAGTCCTCCCCACCTCCATCCCATTTCCACAACCCCCTAGATTTGTCCATGTGTCCTTTATCCTTGTTCCTGTAAACCCTTCCCCTTTTCCCCTAAAATTCCCTCCCCTCTCCCTTCTGGTCATTGTCAGCCTGTTCTCTATTTCAGTGTCTTTGGTTATATTTTGCTTGCTTGTTTGTTTTGTTGTTTAGGTTCCTGTTAAAAGTGAGATCATATGGTATTTGTCTTTCACTGCCTGACTTATTTCGCTTAGAATAATGCTTTCCAGTTCCATCCATGCTGTGGCAAAGGGTAGGAGCTCCTTCTTTCTTTCTGCTGCACAGAATTCTGCTGTGTAAATATACCATAATTTTTTATCCATTAATTTACCGATGGGTACCTCCTAGGTTGCTTCCAACACTTGGCTATTATAAATTGCGCTGCTATGAACATTGGGGTGCATAGGTTCTTTTGGATTGGTGTTTCAGGGTTCTTAGGATATAATCCTAGCAGTGGAATTGCTGGGTGAAAAGGCAGTGCCATTTTTAGTTTTCTGAGAAAATTCCATACTGTTTTTCATAGTGGTTGTACCAGTCTGTAATCCCACCAACAGTGCACTAGGGTTCCCTTTTCTCCACATCCTCTCCAACACTTGCTGTTTGTTGCTTTATCTAAGATGGCCATTCTGACTAGTGTGAAGTGACAATGAAGTCTCATTGTGGTTTTAATTTGCATCTCTCTGATAGGTAGTAATCCTGAGCATCTTTTCATATGTCTCTGGATCCTCTGTATGTCCTCCTTGGAGAAGTATCTGTTCAAGTCCATTGCCCATTTTATAATTGGTTTGCTTGTCTTAGAGTGGAGTCATGTAAGTTCTTTATATATTTTGGAGATTAAACTCTTGTCTGAGGTATCATTGGCAAATATGTTTTCCCATACAGTTGGTTCTCTTTTTATTTTGATACTGTTTTCTTTAGCTGTGCAGAAGCTTTTTATTTTGATGAGATCCCATTTGTTTATTCTTTTCTTTGTGTCCCTTGCTCTAGGGGACATATCAGTAAAATGTTCCTGCGTGAAATATCTGAGATTTTCCTGCCTATGTTCTCTTCTAGGACTTTTATGGTGTCACCCTAATATTTAAATCTTTTATTCACCTTGAATTTATTTTTGTGCATGGTGTAAGTTGGTGCTCAAGTTTCATTTTTTTTTGCATGTAGCTGTCCAGTTCTCCCTACACTATTTTTGAAGAGGCAATTTTCACTCTGTTTTATGTTTCTGTCCTTTTTTTTCAAATATTAATTGACCATAGAGACATGGGTTTATTTCTGGGCTCTCCGTTCTGTTCCACTGGTCCATGTGCCTGTTTTTGTGCCAGTACCAGGCTGTTTTGATTTCAGGAGCCTTGTAATAATACAGTTTGGTATCAGGTATTGTGATCTCTCCTGCTTTGCTCTTCTTTCTCAAAATTGCCGCAGCTATTTGGGGTCATTTATGGTTCCATATAAATTTTTGAAGTGTTTATTCTATGTCTGTGAAAAATGCCATTGGTACTTTAATAGGGATTACGTTAAATCTGTAAATTGCTTTGGGTAGTATGGACATTTTGATGATGATAATTCTTCCAATCCATGAACAGAGTATATGTTTCCATTTGTTTGTGTCTTCCTTGATTTCTTTCTTTAGTGTTGTGTAGTTTTCTGCATACAGGTCTTTTACCCCCTTGGTTAGGTTTATTCCTAGGTATTTTATTTTCTTTTTGCTATATCGAATGGGATTTTTTCTTGATTTCTCCTTCTGATGTTTCATTGTTGGTATACAAAAATGCCTTTGATTTCTGGATATTAATATTGTATCCTGGCTGTTTTGCCAAATTCACTTGTTAGGTCAAGCAGTTTTTTTGGTGGAGTCTATAGGATTTTATATGTACACATGTTTGCATATGTGCAAACAATGACAGTTTTGTTTCCTCCTTTCCAATTTGTGTGCCTTTCATTTCCTTTTCTTGTCTGATCTCTGTGGCTAAAACTTCCAATACTATATTGAACAGAAGTGGTGAAAGTGGACACCCTTGTCTTGTTCCTGATCTTAGTGGAAACGTTTTAGTTTTTGCCCATTGAGTATGATGTTGGTTGTAGGTCTCTCAAATATGGCCTTTATTATGTTGAGAAATGCTCATCTATTCCCACTTTGCTGGGTGTTTTTATCATAAATGGGTGGTGTACCTTATCAAATGATTTTCCAGCATCTGTTAATATGATCATGTGTTTTTTTCTGTTTGTTTTTGTTTATGTGGTGTACTATATTTACTGATTTGTGAATGTTGAACCATCCTTGGATGGTTCATCCTGGGATGAATCCCACTTTGTCATGTTGTATAATCTTTTTAATGTATTGTTGGATGGGATTTGCCAACATTTTGTTGAGGATTTTAGCATCTATGTTCATCAGCAACATTGGCTTAAAGTTTTCTTTCTTTGTTGTGTCTTTGTCTGGTTTTGGGATGAGGATGATGCTGGCTTCATAAAAAGAGTTTGGGAATCTTCCATCTTTTGGAATTTTTGGAATAGTATGTGAAGGATGGGGGTTAGCTCTTCCTTAAATGCTTTGTAGAATTCTCCTGTGAAACCATCTGGTCCAGGGCTTGTGTGTGTTGGGAGTTTTTTGATTACTGCTTCAATTCCTTTAGCTGTTATTGGTCTGTGCAGGCTTTCTACTTATTCTTTATTTAGTTTTCAAAGATTATATTTTTCTAGAAATTTGTCCATTTCACTTAGATTTTCAAATTTCTTGGCATACAGTTCTTCATAGTAATTTCTTACAGTCCTTTGTATTTCTGTGGTATCAGTTGCAATCTCTCCTCTTTCATTTCTGTTTGTGTTTATTTGGGTTCTCTCTCTTTTTTCTTGATGAGTCTGCTTAAAGGCTTGTCGATTTTGTTTATATTTTCAAAGAAGCAGCTACTGGTTTCATTGATCTTTAGAACTGTGCTTTTAGTTTCTATGTCATTTAATTCTGCTCTGATCTTGGTCATTCCTTTCTTTTACTTGCTCTGGGCTGTCTTTGTTGTTGTTCCTTGAGTTCTTGTAGAGATAGGGTTAGGTTGTTTGTTTGAAATGTTTCTATCTTTTTTAGGTGGGCCTGTATTGCTATGAACTTCCCTCTCAGGACTGCCTTCACTCTGTCCCATAAGTTTTGCATTGTTATGAGTTCATTGTCATTTATTTCCAGAAACCTTTTGATTTCTTTTCTAATTTCATTCTCGACCCATTCATTATTTAATAGCATGGTATTTAATCTCCATGATTTTGAGTGTTTTGGTTTTTTTTTTTCCTTGGGGTTGGTTTCTAGCTTCAGTTCTTTGTGATCTGAGAAAATGCTTGGTATGATTTCAATTTTTTTGAAATTGTTGAGGCTTGTTTTGTATCCTTCATGTGGTCTATCCTTGAAAATGTTCCGTGTACATTTGAAAAGAATGTGTGTTTAGCTTCTTTGGGATGGAGGGCTCTCCCTATGTATATATCAGTTAAGTTCATTTCATCTAGGGCATTGTTCAATGTCACAATATCTTTGTTGATATTTTGTTTGTAAGATCTGCCCATTTTTGACAGTAGGATGTTAAAATCCCCTACTATAATTGTGTTGCTGTCAATATCTTTCTTGAAGTCCTCTAAGATTTTCTTTATGTATTGGGTGCTCCTATGTTGTGTGCATATATATTTACAATATTTGTGTCTTTTTGGTGGATTCTTTATTATGAAGTGACCTTCTGGGTCTCTCTTTATGGTCTTTTTTGTGAAGTCTATTTTGTCTGATATGAGTATTGTTACCCCAGCTTTTTTCCCCTGTCTGTTTGCTTGGAAAATTTGTTTCCAGCTCTTCACTTTCAGTCTTTGTAGGTCTTTTGTCCTCAGGTGGGTCTCTTGTACACAGCATATGTGTGGGTCATGCTTTCTTATTCATTCAGCAATTCTATGTCTTTTGATTGGAGCATTTAATCCATTTACATTTAAGTTTATTATTGATAGGTACTTATTCATTGCCATTTTCATACCTGTGTTCCTTTCTGTCTGTCTCTTTTCCTTCCTTTCCTTTAAGCAGTCCC